GCCATCACAAGAATCTTCGGTGTAGTGAACAAGGAACGATACTTTCCAGTGAGGCTGAGAGTGCTATCGTCTTGTGGATAAATTCAATGCGCAAAGCCGGCTGTCCTGTCACCTCGCCAATGATGAAGTTTAAGGCACTCGAAGTGGCTGCTGACGAAGATGAGCTTAGTCATGACGCCACCGGCTGTCTCCAGGCCCAGCGACAACGGCGCGACGTCCAGTAGCAACAGGTCCTGCAGCTTCGAAGACGACTCGTTGCCACTCAGAATCGCAGCCTGCACGGTGGCGCCGTACGCGACGGCTTCGTCCGGGTTGATGGACTTGAACAGTTCCTACCCGTTGAAGAAATCCTTCAGCAACTGCTGCACCTTCGGGATGCGCGTCGAGCCTCCGACCAGGACGATCTCGTTCACCTGGTTCTTGGACAGTTTAGAGTCTCGTAAACCTGCGCAACAGGATCCATGGTCTTGCGGAAATAATCGCTGCACAAGTCTTCGAACTGCGCGCGCGTGATGGTCGAGTTGAAGTCCACGCCGTCAAACAGCAAGTCGATCTCGATGTACGCCTGCGCCGAAGTGGACAGCGTCCGCTTGGCGCGTTCGCACGCCGTACGAAGACGACGCAGAGCTCGCTGGTTCGACGTCATATATCCTTGCGGTGCTTACGCTTGAACTCGGTCACGAAGAACTCGACCAGACGGTGGTCGAAGTCCTCACCGCCCAAGTGCGTGTCACCCGCCGTCGCCTTGACCTCGAAGATCCCGTCTTCAATAGTTAGCAGTGAGACGTCGAACGTGCCGCCTCCGAGATCGAAGATCAGCACGTTGTGCTCGCCTCCTTTCTTGTCGAGCCCATAGGCGATCGCAGCAGCCGTCGGCTCATTAATGATACGCAGCACGTTCAAACCAGCAATAGCTCCAGCATCTTTAGTCGCCTGACGCTGCGAGTCGTTGAAGTAGGCCGGGACCGTCACCTCGGATGCTCAACAAACTATTCCGGTTAGCTGCTGGATGTGGCAGTTGGGTTGATCACGAGAATACTGGACGCGGGTTCGAATTCCGCCGTGTCCACTTTTTTATTGGCTAAAATAAACAACTTAAGTATCAGTGAATTTACCTAAATCTTAAGTTTTAGCTACTAATTTTGTGTAGCAACCCAAAACCTACAACAAGCTGCGCACACGGCCGTTCGCTTAGGACAGGGGGAAACCGGTAGTTCAAAATGCATCCCACATGATCTCCATCTCGCTGTCATTTTTGTCTCCGACTCTCTTCATCTCTTGGGGGTGACTTCAATGGCAGCAAGAGCTTGTCGTCTTGTGCCACAGCTGTACAGACGCAGGTCTCCATTCGTTGCACACTTTGCGCTTGAGTCCAACACCACAGCTCTCGGCTGTACTGGACATAATGACCTTAACAAGTTACAGCAAGAGCTAAGATGCAAGTTGAGAGTATGGGACAAGTCAGAGACTAATCTATCAACACCTGCCGGCTCATTTACACAATCAACGTCGGATAAGTTAGGGGTTCACGTTCCATCGAGAAGAGACTCGCAAGCGATTGACCTAATAATCACCTCTAGTATGGACAGTAGCCCGGCAAAAGCAACGATGTAGCACTTGCTTATCGTTTGATCGCTGCGACTTTCGACTCAGAAAGAATTCGGAGCCCATCCCAACTTCAGCTCGACATCGGATAAACGCGACAATGCTATTGCTACTTCACTTCAGTACAGTTGCTAAAAAAGAACTCGGCAACGCAAGCTTCATTCCGCAATTTACTCAGCAACCACAAGTTCTTCTTCTACAAGCATATACCAACATCAAACATGCGCCTCACCTACGTCTTGGTTTTTGTTTGCGCGGCCATCGTCCAAGCCAGTGGCACTGCGGTTTCTGTGACCAAGGGTTCCAAGGCGTTGATTAAGGATGGCGAGTCGCCGGAAACTGTCAATCGACTTCGTGCAGATGAAGGAATGCGGCGATTGGCGGCAAAGGACGGCTTCCTAAGCTTTCTTAAAAAGAAGTTCAAGGGGGCGTTTCCATGGACGAAGGCCCACAAGCAAAAAAAGAGAAAGGAGGATATTGCTCGGTTTCATCGCCAGTGGTCAGACATGAGGCATGCGGGGGCAAATGTCTAAGAGGAATACACCAGGACTCTTTTACATGTAGATTTCCAATGTCGCTGGACTGGTGGAAGATAAAAAAAGAGGAATGTTTTTCAGCTTCATCCCAATTATCTTTTAGAAATTTTAAATAGCGGGGAGGATCAGATTAGTTATACAAGATGTGTGGAATTTCCGAAGCAAGAAGGTAACGCCGGTATCTCTGTCACAGAGTCTGTGGGGGTCCCGTGCATACTGTAGGAGGCTCCTTAGGAGCAGTCGTGATCCCTAAAAACTCACGTTTCGTCACAACCTGGAAATTGTCTTTTAGAATCCCGTAGCACTGCCTTCTGCCGTCACTTGCCCCGGTCGTAAACAACTCGGTTGAGCTAAATCTGTAGAGTGATTATACCGATTTCCCCACTAGGTAACTTTAAAGGCTCCGATATGTTGGCGATGTTTGTCCGACACGTTCACCACGAATGGAGCCGACCCGAAAGTGCGAGCTTTTCGTGTTCGAGAGCGGAGCATTCGGCCAGTGTATTGTGTGCCTCGTGGAACT